GGCTGGGGAACTCCCTTCTCATCAGTGCAGAGGCAGAAAAGGATCTTGGAGTCATCATTGATGTCAAGATGAATATGGGCCGGCAGTGTGGCGACACGGTCAGGAAGGCAAACAGCACCTTGTCATGCATCCACAGATGCATCTCGAGCAGGTCCAAGGAGGTGATCCTCGCCTCTCTGCAACACTGGTCAGGCTGCAGTTGCAGTACTGCGTCCAGTTCTGGGCGCTGCACTTCAAGAGGGATGTGGACAACATGGAGAGGGTCCAGAGGAGGGCCACTCGCATGATCGGGGGCAGCACGGCAGGCCCTACGAGGACAGACTACGGGACCTGAACCTGTTCAGGCTCCACAAGAGAAGGCTGAGGGGGGGATCTGGTGGCCTGTTACAAACTAGTCAGAGGGGACCAGCAGGCATTGGGAGAGTCCCTGTTCCCCCGAGCACTACCAGGAGTGATTAGAAATAACGGTCACAAGCTGGCAGAGGATAGATTCAGACTAGACATCAGAAGGCGCTATTTCAATGTCAGGGTGGCTAGGATCTGGAACCAACTTCCAAGCAAAGTGGTGCTGGCTCCTACCCTGGGGGTCTTTAAGACAAGGCTAGACAAATACCTTGCTGGGGCTGTTTGACCCCAGTACTTTTTCCTGCCAAGGTAGGGGGTCGGACTTGATGATCTGCTCAGGTCCCTTCCAACCCTACAAACTATGAAACTATCAAACTATGAAATTAAATTGAAAGAAAAAACAAAATAATCCTGACTTGAAAATATTATATTTTCTTGCATATAACCTGAATCTTGTCTCCCAAAAACCAGCTGATGGAAACTGGGATGCACCTTTGTGTAAGAAATATGAATCCTTTTAAGTCAGGAAATGTGGCAGTGGGGGGCAGTGGCAGCATTAATTGCCATGTCTCTCAGAGCCTTAGCAAGTGGCAGTTAATGCTGCTGCTACCCCCAGTTGCCAAATTCCTGGGCTCTTCGGAAGCCTCACAGCTAGATGACATGTCCCTGTGCACTGAATTGGGTCAGCACGTGATATTGGTCCATGGCTAGACCTGGTGCATAACTCCAGACCTGGCACAGTGGGTCAGACCAGGTATGTGGCTCCAGACCAGACCCAGGACACAGGGTCAGCCTGTAGGCTCCATCCAGCACATGGAGCTGGCAGTGGGCACAGGAGCAGGCTCGAATCCCTACCTGCTGCTACTCAAGTTACTACAAAGATATTTTTTTATCAAGCTGCCTTTAAAAAACAAGGTTCATATTATACACAGGGACATGCTATATGTGAGAAAATACAGTACAGGCAACCCCAGCTTAGCACTCTTAATTGGTTCCTGAAAAACTGCGTGTTAAACGAAACAAGTGTTAAGTTAAAACCAAAAGTATTTGATAACCCAAGATGGTGACCACAATTGTTTTTAATGACCCAAGATGGTGACTGCGAGTGTTATAATGAAACTTGGTGAGCGTCAACTGAAATCAGGTATCAATTTAAAATGAGTGCTATAGTGAAAAAGCATTAAGTGAAACAGCATTAAGCAAGGGTTGCCTGTCGTACTCTTTTACACTGTTTACCTGGGGAGCTCTTTATCATAAGTTAGTAGTAAGGGCAAGTCCCTAGTTAAATTCCAAAGACTGTAGTGTCCAGAAAAGAACTGGATAATTGTATATATAATGAGAACTTCCAGAATACAATTGCACAGAATACACTGGTTTTAGAGGAAACCTAAAACAGAAATTGTAGGGTACATGCCAAACTCTAAATAATAGAATTAGGAAGAAAGTTTCTTTACAGAGAAGTTGTTTTGTAACTGGCCACTACTGCCTTTCTTACATCTTCCTCTGAAACATCTGGTACTGGCCACTATTGGAGATACAAGTCTGGACTACGTGGATCTTGAAGGCGTGTCCACACATGCAGGCATGTGCACTTGCAGCATGCTCAACTAGAAGCAGCGCAAATTTGAACTGGGGCTTTTTGCCTCAGCACACATGCCCAGACATGCACTTTGGTGTGGGGCAAATTGTGCCACTTGGGGCAAAGTAACTCTGCCTGGCTCCTCCTGGATTTGCAGCCAGGGGCAGCTAGTGCCCGGGGCCAGCACCTGTGCTGTCCCCAGCAGTATAAAAAGCTGCCCTGGCCTGGCCCCATCAATACAAAAAGCTGCCCTGGCAAGTAGCTCAGGGCTACTCACTTTCAGGAGCTTCTGGGGCCTGGCCAATTGGTACCTGGGTACACTACCCCTTGTGCCAGCTGGACTGCTGAAGCAGCCCTGAGAGTTCCCTGTACTGTCTACCCACTGCAGCAGTCTGGCAGTGGGGGCTGCTGCCTGGTTTTGACCTGCTGCATACCTGCCAGACCTGCTGGGGACTGCACAGCCAATAGAGGCATCTGCCCTTCTGGGCCAGCTGCCAGTGGGTTGTGGCTGCAGAGTTGGCCTCTGTGCGACACTACTGCCATGTGTGCCCCTGTCCAGCCATCTTGACAGCTATCACCCAGAAGACGTTCCAGGTGTGGTGGCCTGCTTTGAACTGTCAAAGCATGTCCTTCTGGCCCCAACTGGCCAGGAGATCAGTCACCTCCAGCTGGGTCCAAGATGCCAGCTCTGAGCAGGCAGGGTTCTGCCACTGGCCTCCCTAGCAGCAATTCTGGTGTTCCCTATTGGAAAACTGAATAATCCCCAAGTCACTCTGTAAAATACCCCCAAATCCATGTTCCTCCACAATTAAAACAAAAGACCACTACAGCGTGCACGCAAGAGAAAGAGAGCGAGAGCGAGAGCGAGAGCGAGAGCGAGAGCGCGATCAGTTGGGCAATGTTTTATTGATATATCTACAGTGTTAAAGCAATTTTGAAGACTACTAGTGTCTCTATCATAATAATAAAGTGAATTTTAAATATATGTTTCATGAATTCATGAATGCATGAACATATGTTTTGCTGCCCCCCACAGGGGCAACACCCCCCCAGGGACCAAATGACCCCCGCAGGGGCTACCCGCCCCCACTTGCTTCCCTAGTCCCCTGAATTGCTACCTTGCCTGGTCCCATCCCCCAGTGGCTCCTGCAGCCCCCTCCCCAATAGCTGCCCCACCCAGCCCCAGCCCCCACTTGCACCCCCAGCTCCCTGATG